AGGCTGTTAGGCAAATAGGCAGGTCACAAAATGATCCCAAGTTGGTTAAATTTAAAAAAAAAAAAAAAAAAAGAGAGACTTGTTACTTAAAAAATGTATGTGCCTGAATGTGTGAAAGAGGTAGATGTGAAGAAAGGTCAAATCATGTGCCTAAAACCCAGTGTCACCTCTGAATGACTTTTTCCTCCTTTACATTAGAAAAAAGCTAAATATATGAAATTGATATAATGGAGAATATATTGTACTTTGAAGAAAAAGTAAAATATGAATAAAGAATGGGTTTTAAATTTTAACTATGTATATATAAAGCTGTCCAAATACTCTTTAAATACAATGATTTTCTTCCTAGATAATCAGAAGGAAGGACCAAATGCTCTTCCCTCACAGACTCAAATGCTTGGTAGGTACAGGCTCAAATGGGCATTATTTGTAAAGCTAGTAGATGGCCTATGAACAAAAAGGGGTGGACTTTATTAAGGGAAAGAGTGTGCTTGCATCATTATCGTAAGAACTAGCAAAGCATTTACCTGCCACTTGGCAGGGACTCAACTAACCAGAAACCCATCACCTGGAACATTTGATTACCTAGACCTCTTTTACTCTCCCTTTAGAGGAAAGCGGGAAAGAGCTGAGTGTGGTGGTGCATGCCTTAATCCCTGCACTGGGGAGGCAGAGGCAGGCGGATCTCTGTGAGTTCAGGGCCAGCCTGGTCTACATAGAGAGTTCTAGACTAGATGGTGCTAGAGGGAGACCGTGTCTCAAAAAAACCAAAAAACCAAACAAACAAAAAAGTAAAGAGGGAAAAAGGAAGTTCCTGACAAGGCTTCAGTCCATGGGGGGAAAAAAAAATCCCCATGTTTCTGGGGCTGGCAGGAATTCCTTTCAGCATGAAGCCCAAAGACGCCTGACCTGGATGCCCACACTCATTGAGTTTTAAATCAACCAAGCAATCAAACAAACAAAAATCAAGGTGTACACTACTTTAATTAAAAAAATTTTTTTTTTAATTTAGACAGGGTTTCCCTGTAGTACCAGCTGGCCTGGAACTCACTATGTAGACCAGGCTGCCCTTGATCACTGAGATCTGCCTGTTTCTGCCTCCTGAGTACTTGGATTAAAAGCGTGTGTCACAATACCTGGCCAATACGACTTTGATTTTGAACAAAGGTAAAAACAAAAATTACCTGGTAATACCCGAAACATTAAAAAACAAACCCAATTTAAATTTTCTTTTGAAATTCTGGCCATCTACTATAAAATACATGTTCTGATATTTATAGCCCAGTTTCCCTGCAGTGTTTTAAATTCATTATAGTCAATTAAAAGAAAAAGAAAAGAAAACAGAAAACCTCAGTTATTTGGGCACTTTCTCTTCTGGCTACTAAGCATGTAAAATCGTCTCAGGATACACTAAGTTTTATTCACTAAAGCATGGAAAAGTTAGGATAAAAGATCTATGACTGAAACCACAAGAGAAAATTTTATACTTAAAAAAATCTATACACTCCACATATAATCACAGCCAACCAAAGTTACCACAAAGCTAAAGGTCAGAAACAGATGTTAAACAAGTACTGCTTCTTTGTCAAACTCCCAGAATTCCCCCAGGCCCTGGCTGGTTGCCCATAGTGGCTCAAGGACTGTGCCTTGGTTGAAGGTAGGAATTACAAGACCCCAGTAGAATCTAGAAGGGGCAATGTGGTCCCAGGGAGATACACATCATGTTTGTGGTCCCCAGAACCATCTGTCCAGAGTTTTCCAAAGCAGAGGCAACTTAGATTAGTTGCCTGGCATAGTTAAAACCTCAGGCAGGAGGAACTACACAAGCATACCTCTTCCCCAGATCCTGAGAGGGTCCACAAAAGCCTTTCTGGACACCAAACCAAATTTGGCCAATACCTTACTAGACGAGTATGTTTAAGGGAATTCTAACACCCATCTGCCAACATCTACTAAGATAACTTCACGTTAACAAATTTGAACTCTCCATCAATACTTTAAAAGTCAATCAATCCAAAATCTGCTTTAGAGTTTCAATTATGATCACAATCCAGAATGTTCAGAGATGCTTCCCTGTAAGTTCACTATCATTCCCAGGTTTGAGACTAAAATCTTACACAAAGCTACACTGCACAGCTCCTCCCCTCCTCCTACCTTTCAGCCTCCAGCACTTTGCCACCCAGTTCAGGTCATTTCTGCCTGCACAAGTTTACTATGAACTCTTCCCGGAAGCCATTTTCCACTGTAATGATTACTGAATGATGCTAGCAGGTCATACTATGTGGCATTTGGTGACTGTCACACCTGTCTTTGAATCTCTGAAATGATTTCCCATTCTTCACTGCAACCTTGACCTACAAATATTGAATTTCATGCAGAGTGACAATGGAAGCCTCTCTCCTGTTGGCTTTTCCTGAGTTGTTGTGGTCTTCCCTCAGAGCCTTTGAATTCCTACTATGATTTTGAATTTTTAGTGTAAGACTCATAATTGTTTCTGGGTTACTCTTAAATTTCTAGCTTCTTCATGAGGTTTAATCCAATCTTGATTAATCACCTTTCTTTTTTTTTGTCTTTTTGACAGAGGGTCTCCCTGTAGCCCCAGCTGTCCTGGAACTCAATGTGTAGACCAGGCTGTGCTTGAACTCAGAGATCTGCCTGCCTCTGCCTCTGGAGTGCTGGGATTAAAGACATGTGCCACCGTGCCTGGGTTGATTAATCATTTCTTACAATGGGTCCTTATCGCCATCAATTACAACATAACACATTTCTGGACACCAATCTTTCTTCATTTCAAACCCTAGCCAATCTCCATTCTAACAAGTTCATCTTAAGCAAACTATTCAAGCAAAGTACCCCAAATTTTACTTGTCTGGGTTCAAAGTGAGAGCAAGCATTCCCTGATTCAAAGTGTCCCTAATAAGTTCACTGATGAGCAGAACCCTTCTGTGTCCTTCCTCAACTAATGCTGCAGAGCAGTGGGCATGCTGGTGGTTATCAATCAACACACCTGACTTATTGGCCAGTTTCCCAACTAATATCTTTTTCAACTATCATATATCCCCTCAAAAAACAGATCTTACCAAATACACCATCATCAAACATAACAAGCTTCCCAATCACTATGGTCAAATCCCTTTCATTATAGCTACCACTTACTGGAGTATGGCAAATGTTTTACATTTATTCCACCTGATCTTCCTTTTCCATGTGAATGAGAAAATAGGATCAACTAAGTAACTTGCTTCAAGATACTTAAGCAGAAGAGTCAGGATTTGATTCAGGTCTATCTGGCTTCAAAACCCATGTTTTGGGAGCTGAAGAGACAGCTCAATGGTTAAGAGCACCAGATGCTCTTGCAGAGGATCAGGGTTCAATTCACAGTATCCACATGGTGGCTAACAATTGTCTGCTAACTACATTTCCAGGAAAACTTTCGTCCTCTTGTGGTCTCTGTGACCACACATGGCACATATGTCGTGCACTTGCACACATGAAAGCAAAAAAACTCATACACATAAAAACAAATCACAACAACATTAACAACGTATGTTTTCTCCACAAAAGTTCTTGTCAATTTGAGCTCTAGGAAAAAAAAAAGCTTAAACTCTCACATGTATGGTATCATAATTAGCAATCACCTCACCTCATCTAATATAGTCCTTAAAGAACTGAATGTTTACTGAACAAAGAGAAACTAAGTCTTTTAAGTGAAATCAGTACTCACAATATAAGTCCTGTCCTCAGCAAGGTAATTTTCTAAGATTAATATGAAATGAACTTTTTGTCTTTTGAGGCAGGGTCTTCCTGCAGCCCCAGCTGGCCTGGAACTATGTAGACCAGGCTGGCCTCGAACTCAAGAGATTCACTGGCCTCTGTCTTCCGAGTGCTGGGATTAAAGACACATGCCTTTAAAGTCTTGAAATGCCCTTTTAAATCCAGACAATTTGAGAATGTGCTAGCCACCGATTTCCACTTCTCAAGTGTCAGTTACTACTGGTCACACTAGACCAAGGACAAAGCAGTTTTTTCTTGTCTGTTTAAAAGCCGAGGTTTCCTTCAACACCCAAGGTTTAGTGCCCTAAATATTCCTCCTAGGCCTTCAAATTTTTAAACTCCATGCCTTTCGAGTTTTTCCTAACACTTCTTATCTCGGCTTTTCCTCTTCTGCAGAAGAAAAGGCGTTTCCCCTGAAACTAGTAGCCCCTGCTGGCCCTGTTTGGCCAAAGCAGATTAGGAACACAAGCACAGACCGTCCGGGGGAGGCAAGTAAGGAGGTAATTTGAGTTGTGTCTCCACCTGCACTAGGTAGTCGACGCAGACCCTAGCCAGGGTGGCCACTCCCTCCAACAAATTCGACAACAGCAGAACCCTATTTTGGAAAGTTGGAGAACCGGAACCACAGCAATGGAAACTCTGCACGGGCTCTTCAAGATAAGGAGCTAAGAGACAAACGGCAAAGGCTTTCCGCGCCGCAAGACGACACTTTGGAAACTGTCACTACACTGCTCAAACTTAGAGTCTCCCGCCCAAAAAAGTGTGGCACATGGAAAAGCCTAGAGGCCGGCCTCCCTCCAGAGCTCCAGGCCCCGGGAAGGGCGCGTGCTGAACATCTGATCCCGGAGCAGGAAATCCTGTTCGCTGCCGGCAGCCTGAGAGCGGGAAAGGTGTTTCTCCCCGGAGATCAGCCAGGCCGCGGGCCCGGGGCCCAGCAAGGGAAACCCAGGCCTCCCGCAGCCCCAGCCCCACCGGGGCCGCCGCCGCCTCCCGGTCCCACTCGCTCCTCGCCACCGTCCCTATTATCCCTCCACCACCCCCGCCCGCGCAGGCGCAGTGGGAGCCGGGCCTACCCGCGCCCCCGAGGCGCCGCGACCAGGGCGGAGCGGAGGAGGCCGGCGGCGGCTCGGCACCGAGCGAGCGGCCCACCCGGGTCTCCGCAGCCTTCCAGCCACCGCCGAGGCCCTGTCCGCCCCCCCGGCCGGCCCCTCTTCCGCCCTCCTCACCCGTTCTTCAGATCCACCTCCAGGATCTTCCCGTAGCCCTTAAAGAAGCGCTCCACATCGCGCTCCCGGGCCTGGTAGCTCAAGCGGCCGATATACACCCGCGGCATCCCGGCGGCAGCTGGCCCCGGCCCCCTTCAGGCGGCGGCCGGTGAAGCGAGAGCGCGGCAGCGACGACGACGGCAACGGGCGGGCGACGGGACGGACGCAGCCGAAGCCCGGCGACGTACGCGAGCACGCAACGCCAGAGCGCGCCCCCGCCCCCCCCCTCCGGGCGGAGAGGAACGGTGGCGAGCGCGCGCCCGCTTCCCGCCGGGCCAGGGCTGGGGGCGGGGCCTCCTTGGAGGACGGGCGGGGCCTGGCCGGGTGATCTTACGGACGCGGCACGTCCTCTCGTGAGCTCCGCCCGGCGCCGGCGCCTCCCCCGGAAGTGTCCGTGTGCGCTAGTGTGCGGCGAACGGTCGTTCCCGCTTTTGTCCTTTGAACCCTGAGTGGTTTCAGATCCCCAGCGGCTTGCGTTTGAACCTGGCTTTCAGGCCAGGTTTGTGGATCACCGTGACCTTGGGCTCACTTCCCGCGTCTCTGAGCGGTCTTTATCGTCTTTGTACTTGCAACTTCGTAGGGTTACCTTGACAGTTCTAATGAGACTCGTAAAGCAGTACCAATTCAATCAGATTTTGTAGAGTCGGGGTTCGAACGCAGGGCCACATGCATGCTAGGCAAGTGCTTCACTTCTGAGCTGCATCTCCAGTCCTAAGATTATTTTAGAAACAGGATACTGCTTAAATGGCGAGAGAAGTGAAGAACGCTAGAGCCTTGCAGTTAGACTAGGGACGATAGTCCATTTTTCTAACCTGCAAGATTAGAATTTATAGATAACCATTTACTACCAGAAAAGCTGAAGCGTGTAAGTGGACATGCCTGTTCCAGGGCACGTGAGAGCTAATAATTGGTTCGCCTCTAACTTTGGAGCCACCGAGAGTTTTATTTGCTTGGACTTCTTTAAATTACTTTAAAAAATATTTTTATTTTATATTAGTGTATTGCCTACATGTATGTAACTGTACTCATGTCGTATAATACCCACGGAGGTCAGAAGAGGGCCTTGGATCCCCTGGAACTGGAATTATGGAAGGTTGTTTACTGCCATGTGGGTGCTGGGAACCCAACCCAGGTCCCCTGGAAGAGCAGCCAGTGCTCTTAACCGCAGAGCCATCTCTCCAGCCCCATATTTAAATTGTATTTTGAAAGAACTCAATTCAAATTATATGCAATATAAGTTCTCCCCTCCCCCCCTTTCCCTCTCCTCAGCTTTTCTTCCTAGAAGCCATCGGTTTCAAAATTATTTCAGAAGTTAATTTATCATACAATTCTCAGCTTATTTGTGTTATTTTTAAGACAAGGACTTTCTATGTCCAGTGGTCTTGAGCTCCAGATCCTTGGGTCGTAGCCATCCAATAACTGACATTATAGGTGTGCACCACTGAACTTGGTTTGGCTTAATATAGTTTTATCATTTTTATTTTATGCGTAGTATTTTGCTTGCATCTATATAAGTGCACCTGTCATGCAATGCCTGAGGAGGTCAAGAGGGTGGTGGATCTCATAGAACTGGAGTTACAGTTGTTAGCAGCCATGTGGGTGTTGGGATCCAAACCCAGGTCCTCTGTTAAGAGCAGGTGGTGCTCTTAACCTCTGAGCCATCTCTCCAGCCTGGCTTACTGTATTTCAATAAGAATTCCAGAATATAAAAGGAGCTCTATTTTTATGTCTCATAAGACCATTTTATGTATAGTAACATGTCACTATAGTAAAAGTCTGAGACTTTCAACCTGTAGTTACTTTTCTGTTGCTGTGATTAAAACACTGTGACCAAGGGAATTTATAAAAGGAAGAGTTTATTTGAGCTTATAGTTCCAGGGGTAAAGGCCCAAAGGTGACTGGAGCAGAAAGCAGGCCCAGGAAGCAGAATTCAGCTGGAAATCTGGCGCAAGTCTTAAGAACTGTTAAAGTTGGGGCTGGAGAGATGGCTCAGAGGTTAAAAAAAACACTGACTGCTCTTGCAGAAGACCTGGGTTCAAATCCCAACACCCACATGGCAGCTAATAACTGTCCATAACTCCAGTTCCAGGGGATCGGACAGCCTCTTCTGTCCTCTGTGGGCACTGCACGACAGCCGTGCACTTACATGCAGGCAATACATGCATACACATAAAATAAAAATAATAAAATAAAAAAACCTGTCAAAGCCCACCCCCAGTGACATGCTTCCTCCAGCATGGCCACACCTTCTGAGACCTCCCAAAACAGCACCACCAACCCGGGACAAAATGTCCAGATACTTGCAGCTTATGGGGAACATTCTCATTCAAGCCACCACACAACCTTTATTAGAACTGCTGCAATGGGTAACCTTGTATGTTCATGTATGTAGGACCTATTCCTGGAAGTAGGACTATCACTGGGGACAGAGTTTAGTGGCAGAACACTTGTCTAGTAGGCATAGAGTTCAAAGTTTGATACTAAGCAACACACAATTTGGAAGGAGGAACATTTAGGTCAAAGGATACGAACAGGTTCTTTATTCTGGGACAAGGTCTCAGCAGCCCAGGCTGACTCAAACTCATGGTAATCCTCCTGTCTCAGTCTCCTGAGTAGTGAGATTGCAGGCGAGTACCACCATGTCTGGCTTAGCCTGTGTAATTTGATAGATACTGCTCAATATTTCTTAAGTGCTTGTCTGCAGATATTCATCAACATACTTATCAGATGTTTTGATCTTAATGTATGAAATGATATCTCCAGATCATTTGATTTGCATGATCTTATTTTGATGGGGTATACCTCTCTTCATGTCTAAGACACACTTTGTTTTCTTTTGTGCGAATGTTTTATCCTTTGCCCATTTTTCTTGATTTAAAGGCATTCACTGTAGATGAGAAAAAACAGCTATTTGTGTGTGTGTGTGATTGCATATTGTCAGAGGACAACTCTGGGGAGTCGGTTCTTTCCTTCCACCATGGGATCCAAGAATTGAATGAATTCAGGTCCTGAGGCTTGTGAGCAGTTTTTTCCCCCCGTTGAGCCAGCTCAGCACCCTACATATTGTTTATTGCCATGCCAAAAATTTAGGTATTTATGGGCGTGAACTTATTTGCCTTCCCATCCCCCAATATTGTGTTATGGTTCAAAAGGTTTTCTTACTCCAAGACTTTTTCATTTGTTGCTGTTTGGAGACACGGTCACATGGAGCCCAGACTGGTCTGAATTTGCTATTGTAGCCGAGACTGACCTTGAACTTCAATCCTCCTGCCTCAGCCTCCCAAGTACTGGAAGTACAGGTCTGACCCATCACACCTTAAGTTTTGTTTTTTTTTTAAATAGAAAACATCTCCTATGGTTTATCCAGTTACCTTTTCATATATAAATTATGAATTTCTAATATTTATATATTTTTTCATATGGTTATGGGGATCAAACTTAAGGCTTTGAATATGGTAGGCAAGTGCTTTACCACTGAGCCACTCCCCAGCTATTCTATTACTTTTAGGGTTATTTTTATTTTATGTGTATGAGTGTTATGTCTGCATTATGTAATACAGTGCCTGCAGAACCAGAAGAAGGTGTTGGATCCCTTTGAACTGGTGTTATGGATAGGGTATATATAGGTGGTGGGAACTGAGCCTGGGTCCTCTGCAAGAGTGGCCGGTGCTCTTAACCACCGAGCCATCTATCCAGTCCTCTAAGGCTAATTTTTATACTGCAATCTTTAAACCACTTGGAATTTTTTTTTTTTAATTGAGAAAGTGTCCCCCTGTATCCTTAGCTTGCCTCGAACTCGCTATGTAGACCAGGCTGGCCTTGAATTCACAGAGATCTGTCTGCCTCTGCCTTCCTAGTGCTGGGATTAAAGGCATACATATGACACCACACCTGGCCCAACATTCAGAATTTTAAAGGTGTCAGAATCACAAATGTCTTAAGAACTAGCACTAACCTTGGTATATAACCTTGTTGTAGTCTACCTATTGTACAGATGAGAAAGAGCCCCACAGAGGGTCAAATGTCTGTCTTCAAGGCCGCCTTTTTACAGTTCCCCCAGGAAAGTTATCCATTATAAAAAATGAAATAAAAATAAGCTACTGTCCATTATAAAAATAAAATGAAAACCTGCAACATCCAGGTGAGCACATGTACTAGACTAACAGGTGCATTTCTCTGCCTCCCCTGCAGCCAACAGGGGCGGCCAGTGTGATGCAAGCAGAGGTAGGTGTCTTAGAAACTTCATTTGAATGTAGTTGCCCGAAGAATGCCTTTTTCCTCCCCTTCCATCTTCCCACTGGGAGGCAAACATTCCTGGATTGTGTGTGCAGTGTACAGTAGAAATGGAACAAGGGAGCCTGGGACCCAAACACCCAGAACCCGGGCTGCCTGCCTCAGGATCTGTTAGCTTGGTTCAGCTCCAAGTACTGGCGTTTCACTGACCCTAACCCCTAAGTGATAGCACGCACTGATTTCACTTACATGGAAACTGAGTCCACTAATCTGAAGCAGAGAAAGGGAGTTGTGGTAGGTCATGAGTTCCAGCCAAGGGTTTGAAGGGATGAAAGATAGCCAAGCAGGGGATGATTGAGAAAAATCCTCAGGGGGGGCTCCTGATAGAAAACAGGCATGACGGCCTAAGGCAAGGCTGGTGTGCACCTGCAGCCTGGAGGTTCTCCCTGCCCTCTTCTGGGAGCATCTACCCTGCAGCCCTAAGGCTCCTGCCACAATACTGATGAGTGCCTGTGTCCTCAGGGGAAGAAAGACCAGGAGGAAGGTGCTTGCCTGAACTTGTGTTCCAGCCATCACCATTCTTCTGTCTGGGGGGGCTTGGCAATACCCTCAATGCTGGCAAACACCAAGCCCTGTAAATGATGGGGCAGAGGATCAGTCCTGCCATGGCACCTGCCTGCATCTGTAGGCAGAGAAATTCCTGGGAACCCAGCAAAGCTAGCCTAAAGGTGGGAAGGAGACCCCCACACATACCCTGACCTTCGTAATGTCCTGGCTCATTCCACGGCCATCATTCTAAGGTTTTTGGCAACTTTCTGATATTGTGTGGGTTTTAGTATCACTACAGAAGAGGCGCCTCAGAGGGTTGGTTATTGCCGATCCCATAGCATGTGGCAGAGCTGGCACCACACTAGACAGTCCTAAGTCTTTCTGGTCTCAGAGTTGGCCTTGGAACTCCTGCTCTTCTTGGGACTCCCTGTCCAGCACTTGGGACTGAGATAAGCTAACAGATCCTGAGGCAGGCAGCCTGGGTTCTGGGTGTTTGGGTCCCAGGCTCCCTTGTTCCATTTCTACTGTACACTGCACACACAATCCAGGAATGTTTGCCTCCCAGTGGGAAGATGAAAGGGGAGGAAAAAGGCTACTACATTCAAATGAAGTTTCTAAGACACCTACCTCTGCTTGCATCACACTGGCCGCCCCTGTTGGCTGCAGGGGAGGCAGAGAAATGCACCTGTTAGTCTAGTACATGTGCTCACCTGGATGTTACAGGTTTCCATTTTATTTACTTTGGGGGGAGGGGCATGTGTGTGCTGGTGCTTAGCATACCAGGGCTGCAGGCCCCTCATTCTTAACTCCAAACTTTCAGAGTGCCCACAAAGATCCATCCTGCCTTTACCCCTGCTACCTCTGGGCAGCTTGCCCACACTCTCATGCTTTCTCACGTATCCATAGTGAACCTGGGTGCAAATCATCTGTCCCAGAAACCTGAAGGACTAGGGAAGGAGGCGGGGCTGATCTGAACCCAGGTGTAGAAGGTGGCAGGTTCTGCTTGAGGCACTTGCAGACTTGTCTAACCACAGGCTAAAGCAGTCCCTTTCTTTAGAGAACACAGATAGATGCTCCTAGAGGCAAGTGGAGTGCCACAGTCTGTGTACTTACCAGCATGCAATTAAACTCTCCCAGCCAGTTTTTCCATTATTGCTTTGTGCCTTGAAATCTCAGAGCTCCCTCAGCTCCAGGGTAGGTTCCAAGGTCAAGGATCACTGTGATCTGACCCCTGCTCACTGTTCCCCTCAGTGCTCATGCGTCCTCTTAGGCAGGCGCTCCCCTCTTTTGTTTGGAATTTCTCAAGTGCCAGGACCTCTCACAATTGTTTCACTCAAGCTGCTGGCCTTGTTTGCTCTGCATTTCCCTACTTGGCCTTCAGGATTCTGTAGACAGTATTACCTCCAGGAATCCTCCCTTGACAGAGCTGGACCTCTTTGTGTCACCCTACAGCTTTATTCTTAAATACTGTAGTAGGGGCTAGAGAGATGGGTTAAGAGCACATACTGCTCTTGTAGAGGATGTTAGTCTGGCAGCTCACAACTGCCTGTAATTCCAGCTCCAGGGGATCTGACACCTCTGACCTCTATGGGTACCCATACTTATCTGCACCCACACTTATGTGCACATACCCACACAAATACATATATACATAATTGAAAACAAATCTTAATGATACTGTCTCTTATACTAGGCTAAACAACCTGAGAGTTAGCATATCCTTCATCAGCATCCCTAGTTTGGGGTGCGCACTAGGCACTCAATAAATGCTTCCTGAATGAGGTCACGACTTAAAGGTACAAGTGGCCAGGTGACAAAGGAGATGCCCCAAGTTGTTCTTTGCTTTGGGCAAAGGCACCATGAAGCAAATGCCAGTAAGTTACTTTTGGCTTGAATGAAACCAACTCACTTTTCAGTCCATCTGCCCAAACTGTCCAGATCCCAGGTGTTTGCAGCTGTACATGTATTCTCTATGTAGCCGGAGTCACTGTGGCTATGCCTTTTGGTTTAGTGCAGGACTTCATAGCAGCACTGGGAAGTTTTGGGCAGGGTGCCTTTGTTGTAGAAGGCTGTCCTGTGTGATGTAGCTTTCATTTTTACTGCTATTGCAATGGAACCCAAGGCTTTATATATGCTAAGCAAGCACTCTTATCACAGAGGTACACTCCCAGTCCCCTTTGTAGGATTCTAGTTTTTTTTTTTTGGTCTTTTTGAGACAGGGTCTCCCTGTAGCCCCAGCTGGCCTAAACTATGTAGACCAGGCTGGCCTTGAACTCAGAGATCCACCTGCCTCTACCTCCCGAGTGCTGGGATTCAATGTGTCTGCCACCATACCCTGCTTTAGTCCCTTCAGCTTTAATGACTTCAGCCTGGTACCTCCTCCGGGCAGTGGATCCCCTTGCTCTAGAATGTGCTGCACACTACCAGAGAAGTCAGCCACCCTTCCCTTTCTGTGACTCCTCTACAAGCTCACACTGCTAGGTGGGAGCCTCTGCTTTCAGGGTGGTCAGGCAATGACTGGACAGTGGGTAGAGTGAGGCGGGGTGGGGCTTGGTTGGAGGGTGGCTTAGTGCTTTGAGATGGCAGGTGCAGTGATCCTTGGCAGGCTTCTACTCTGTTCTTTACTCAGGAAGTTCAGACTTTATTAGGTACTGCGGGGCTGGCACCCATCTTCCTCATGAGGACATGAGCAGAAAGCAGTGTGGGGAGGGCTGGGGTCCTCACAGAGGGCCTCTAGCCAACCAGCCAGCCCAGTGTGTCTGTTCCTACTTCCCTCTTGGTCCTCTGGGGTGATCACATGGTGAGAATCTGCTTCAAAGATACGAAAGGCTTCATGGACTCTTCTAGGGCCCGCTGGTAGTCCTGCAGCGGGACCTCGGAGCAGGCAGGGGCTGTGAGCCGGCCTTGGCGGATGAAGTCACAGAGCTTGAGGATCAACCCCTTGAACTCACCTATAGGAGGTGGGAGGAGGTCACATGGGGAACAACAGATGGGGTCTGGAGCCATGGCACACTGGCTTCCCTGTGGGCCAGAGCTGGCACTGAACTAATGAAGCCTCAGAACCCTAGTTTATCCTACCCAGGGTCTGAGACAGTGAAGGCCAAAGTGAGAGGGGAATATGGAAGAGGCCCTAGGAGCTGCTAGGCAGGCAGAGTCTACCCTTCTCAGCAGTGGCTAGGGTGGCTCATATCCACAGGACAGGCCTGGGGAGGAGTTGGTCCTGAGGTGGGAGGGGCAGCACTACTCAGGAAAGCCAAGAGGCCCAGGGAGGCGGTGCACCTGGCACACTGCCCAGATAGGAAAAGCTCTCCTTGACAGCTCTGGGCTCCCTAGGGACTCCTGGATGGAGGCGACCACCATCCCTTTCCCGCCTGCCTCCTGCTGAGGGCCAAATACAGTCCAGGAAGAGAAGTGAAGGCTTTGGCTGAGTAGTGCTTTTCACAGACAGAAATAAACTCAACCTTCAAAGTGGATTGTACTTCCTGATTAAAAACACTCCACTGACTCCCCAGCTGTCTTCAGATGGAGTGCAAACTATTTGTGATCTGGTTCAGAACCTGCCTGGCCAGCCTCTCAGTCCCAGCCCAGACCTAGAGCTCCAGTTGTCTGAACCACTGCCCTCTGAGGTCAAGTCTGTTCTTTTTATTTTCACTTTTTTGTGTGGCGTGTGTGTTATTTAGTACATGTGTGTAGGCGAGACTGATATCAGGTGTATTTCCTCCATCACTTTCCACCTTTTAGTTTTTGACAGTCTCTCACTAAGCCTGAAGGTCTTTAATTCAGCTAGGCTAGCCAGCTTCAGGGATCTACCTGTCCCTGTCCCACTTTCCCCCTTTCACACCCTCCCCCAGGATACCTGGGGTTATAGGCTTTTTACATGGGTACTGGGGATCTGAACTCAGGTTCTAATGTTTGAATAGCAGGCACTTACCAACTGAACCATCTTCTCAAGCCCTCCAGCTCATCTTGATGAACTGTTGTATGAATCACTTTTCTGCCGGAAACACCCTATGCATGCCAGTACTTCCCTCCCCTTCCTTTGGACAACCCAACGTTATTCTTTTCAGTCTGGGCTCCCAATCTGGGGGGTCATGAGGGCACACCTGCTCACCCTGGCAGCACCACTCGGAGATGGGAACCACTCTGAACCTGTTTGCTTTTGTCGTTAAAACACGTTTAAACTGAGGTGGACATTCAGTGACTTGCCCACAGTTCCCCAGCTAGGCTAGGCCAAACCTCAATCTGGGGATGGTGGAAGCAGCATGTGAACTGGGTTTTTGTTTTTCCTTTTGCTTTCTTGAAACAGTAGCTAGCTGTGTAGCCCAAGCTGGCCTTTAACTCCCAATCGTGCCTCAGCTCCCAAGGGCTGGGATTCCATGGGTATACCACCACACTCAGCCTGCTCTCTTTACCTGGCAGGCTTCTACCCCCACCGCCAGGACAAGGCCTGGTTTACCCTACTGGACACTGAAGACCAACCCAGCTTCATCTAGAAGTGATTTGCTAACTGTAACTGTTATAGAAGCTAGTCTTTACCCTGTTGTGGGGTTGGGGACCCAGTCACTCTGCAGGTTTCTGAGTAGCAGGTCAGTTTGCCACGATGCTGGGCCCTGCTGTGACCCTCGGCACCAGGCTAGCATCTACTCACCTGGACTGTGGTTCTTCTTCCATTGGGACAACCAAAAGCCCCGAAGCCTGAGGTCCTTAAAAATGAGCAGGCTCTGTGGACACAGGGGGATATGCTGGGGCTCTGAGGACAAGAACTCAAGGCATTACTTAAGGTACAGGTTCCCCAGGGACAGGGGAATAGCCCAAGCTTAGATAACTGTGGAGGCAAAGAAAGGTCCTGATGTGCAGGTACCCCAGCTTACCACAGAGGCTATCACGGGCTGCTTGGCCATTCCTCCGTAGGTCACCATGGTTCCTCCAGGCCTGCAGAGTCCACAGGGAACAAAGAGTGGATGTCAGGCAGAGATGGAACCTGCTATGGTCTAAAGTCGCCCAAAGGGAACCTGACAAAGCACTTGCAGGAACAAACTCTGGCTCCTAAACCTTGCTCTCAGAATCCCTGGGAAGGAGTCTGGCCTGCAGAGGCCAGAAGAGAGAGTATCAGATCTCCTGGAACTAGAGTTGTTGAAGGTTGTAAACTGCCATGTGGCTGCTGGGAAGGATTTGAACCCAGGTTTTCTACAAGAGCTGTCAGCACTATAATGGCTGAACCATCTCTCCAGCCCCTCCCTGGGAAGTTTTAAAAAAATAGATTCTTAGTTTTAACCTCTGACCTAGAAAATTAGGAGGCAAGAACTTTTATTAGAAAGAACATAATGGCGCCAGGCGTGGTGGTGCACACCTTTAATCCTAGCACAGGGGAGATAGAGGCAGGGGGTCTCTGTGAGATGGAGGCCAGTCTGGTCCACATAGCAAGTTCCAGGCCAGCTGAGACTACACAGTGAAACCCTGTCTAAAAATGAAAACAATAATAGAAACCTATCTAGGCATGGGGTACATGCCAGTAATCTCAGCAACTGGGAGGCTGAGGCAGGAGGACTGTTAAATTCAAGGTCAGCCTTGGCTATAGAGACCCTGTCTCAACGCTCCTTCTCCCCCTCTCCCTCCCCCTTCAGATAACCAAGATGGTTGGTCAGGGCTGGGAGTCCACTTGTCCAACCTATCCAGGTGGGCTTTGGCTGCATGCTACAGCTGAATCCACTGGAGAGCTCAAGGCCAGGTTTGATCTGGGCTCTACTGGTTTACAGAATTATGACCTTGAGTGGTAATAATAAAAATGGTCCAGACCTTGTCTCTTCATCTGTACATGCTCACTCTAAAGATCAGTGCCACAAAGGAGCTAAGGGGTAATGTGGACAGTGCAGGGAGGGGGCAAGGATGAGCATTTTGATTCTCCTGCTCAGCTGGGATTCCAGGCAGGTGCCAACATGCCCAGCTCTAATGTAATTTTTAAAGGTAATGAGCACGGATAACATGTGCTCTCCTTGCTGCTCTCCCTGCTCCTTGGCTTTTAGGAATTTGTTGATCAAAGATGACCTGAGGAACATTTTGGGGTAACTCAAGAAAACTGAGGACATATGGAAGCAGCTGCTATGTGAGGGGAGCAACTCTGGCCCTCAAGTTCTGGACAGTTGGGCTGTCTGTCTACCTATCTATCAATCACGGAGCTGGAATGGAACCCAAGCCCTAATATGTAGTTAAGCACATGCTCTACCACCGAGCTGTATTTCGAGGCTCCTAATTTTGTCTGTCTGCCTCTCTGTATTTTTGGCTGTATCCCACACCTGCAGACTTGCTGTGTACCTCAGTCTGGCCTTGAACTCGTGGCACCCCTTTTGCCTCAGCCTCCTGAGTGCTAAGATTATAGGTATGCCTGGCTTAATTTGGTCTGAAGTTCTCCTCAAATAGTTCTTACTCTATAAAAATGCTTCTGGAAGCAAACCCTCCCCTTCATCTCATTTACAGGGAGTCCACCGTGCACCAGGCACGGATCCAAACATGTTACATGTACTGTCTCCATGAATTCTCAGGAGTACCATCAGGGGAACATTCTGATATCATTTCAGTGTCCCCTTAGACTAAGCTTCAGATGCAGAGCCAGTCTCTCACTTCCATTTTCCAGTTGAGGAGACTGAGGCCTGGGACATTTTCACATATTGACTTTTCAGGGGTCGACAGCTAGTATGGAGGTAGACTTTCAATCCAGCCATTCTGACACCAGTGCCCACATCTGTGACCACTGCGTCCTCTGAGGTAGTGAGCCTCCTAGACTACTTATGGGCTAAACAGGCATGTTCTGTAGTCATGCAAACCCTGGGTCAGTTCTGGCTGTCTTGCCAACTACATCTGGGGTGAGATGATTACCCTCTGAAATGACGATGGGATGGGGAGTGTAGAACATAAGCTTAGCACGCTCGAGACCCTGGTTCAGTCCCCAGAACCCAAAGGAAAAGCAGAGGAGTCAGGAATAGCAGCCCTTGCCTGGGGCTGTGGGCTGGCATGCCAGTCTGTAGAGTGTGGTGCGCAGACAGCTCCAGGACTCTCAGCACAGCGCTTATGGCTATAGTGCTCAGTCTGTGCTTGGTCTCGGCATCTCAGTGCCTCTGCACCTGGCAGCTTGTGAGTGTTCCACAGGTGTTAGCTGACTCACTGTGGAGGGCCGGCTATAGTGGGGAAGCAGGGTTTTTTTTTGTTTCTGTTTTTTCAGTTATGCAACCCCTCCACTTTCCTCCCGACGGTTGGAGAAATTTATGCCCAAGGAGGGAAGAACATACATAATGAATGGCAGTTCTCCATGTTGGGCAGGTGATGGACCTTCCATCATCCTCCCTTCCCCTCAGTACTTCTACATGCTTTCAGAATGTTTTGTAATAAGTGTCATGTTTCTTCTACATTACATTCTAGTTTTAGAAGACAAAAAAAATTCAAAGCCACTGAGTCCAGACTAAGTGACTTTTTAAGAGGCCCCTAGGTTATGAGTCCTGGGCCATTTCCCATGGCAGGGAGCTCAGCAGTCTACCTCTGGGTCCCTGCCATCCACCAAAGGAGGCCAAGAAGTGTGTGCCAGGGAGCAAGGTGACCTGGGTTCACTCCTACTCAGTGACCTGTCACCCTGGCCAGGCTTCACAGTAGCCACTGGGAATTAGTCACTAGATAGTCCTCCCCACTAAGATGTGGAGAGATTGTGTAAATGGTACCTAAAGGACCAAGGGACTTACGCCAGATGCCGCAGTAGCTCTGTGGAGCTCTTCCCACCAACACAGTTGAGAGCAAGCCGAGGTTGGGGCATGTCCTGAAAGGTAAGGAACCTGCAGTGAGGGAGGTGCCCCAAGGTGATGGAGCAGCCCCTGAGGGTCTGAAGCTGCTATGGGCAGCACTTCCACACCCAAGTGCTATGTCAGAAGGAGGGAGTAGATGGAGCGCTGGTGACTTTTGGACTTGCTTTTTAAAAATCTGCCCAGGCAGGGGCAGGGCCTTTAGCAACTTCATACTGATGTCCATTTCAGGACTTGATTCAAAACTTGCCTCCTCTGGGAAAGTACAGACTCAGAGCATCTCTGTGCAGAGTCAAGGGATAGAGGGACTCCAGCAACTCTAGGGCTTAAGACTCAGTTTGCATGTGAAATGCTGATGATCTGCTTCGGAAATGCTCTGCAGGACAAATGTTCTCAAGGACATGTATTTGGTCCCTCCAGATGATTTGGTGCAGAGGCTCAGACCAGGCTTGCTCACTTACTGGGCCTGCTGGAGGTAGATGCTCTGGAAGAGTAAGGGCTTTGAATTCAGAGCTGGGAACCAGCCTTATTGCACCACTTGTGACTCTGGTCCTGAGGCTGGGTTTCATTTATAAGACTGGCATTAGCTACTCTGTGGAGCTTTCCCAGGGATCTCCAGATAGAATGTGGTACAGAGACTTAGGAAACAGACCCTCCCTCCTTGCTCTGTCCTTAGTTTCCTCAGGCCCCCATCTATCTCTGACTCACACTGCTGTGTGGGCTGATGAAATCTACTAAAATCTTTAAAAGTGCAGGGTTTCCTAGTTTGTCTGCTTTTCCTCCATCCATCCCAGTGTCTGAGCACTTACTACATGCTGTCCCCCTGGCTGGGGTTGGGGGATAGGCTTTGTCCTTCTAAGAAAGGAGGTTTTTCAGACCAGAGCATGGGGCCAGCCCCTTGTTTTTCTAATTCAAGTCAGTTTTCTGCAAAGAGATGGCAGGGGACGGAGGGGCAGCACCCTCTTGCTGGGTACCTTGAAGATGGTTTTTATCTCAGGCTTTCTTAGCTCCTCCTCTGTGAGGACATGATCAGCTCCCAGGTCCTTCAGTCTGCTGGTCAGCTTGTGGATGTCAGGTCTAGAGACCAAACACAATCAGAGGCCTTGGTCATACCTGCTGGCTTTCCCTTCCTCTAGCTCCCAGGACTCCTTGCCACAGCTGTCAGAACACACAATTCTGTTTTGGGAACTAGGATTGGGATTAAGCCAGGCCTCAAGCAGGGGCCAGCCACATAATTTAATCATGCTCCACCAGCTCTTGGCCTCATTTTCCATTGGCCATGTCTCCCTGGACAGAGCCAAGAGATAATCTGTAACCCCTGCCAGTTCACAGATGCTAGAAACCATCTGCGCCCAGGGAGAAGCCATTCTACTTCCTGTTTCATCTAGTCAAACAAACTCCACTTCCTGTCCTCCCTGTTTTCCAGGGTACTTTAGGGTATGGTGCAAACATTCCAGGGCTGGAGCAGCCTTGGCCTCTTTGACCCAGGCACACATGATCACTTCTGTTATCACCACCGTGGAGGCAGGCACTGAAGTATCAATCCTCCTACTGAGACTGGACTTGCACAACCCACATGGCCACACTGGTGACCAGTGGGGCTTGAATGAGTTGGATGTGAATGGAAAGAAAGGAAGTCTGTTACTGACTTGCTGTGTCTTCCTGAGCAAGCTGCTTCCTCTTTGAAACTTCAGCTTCCTCATCTGTAAGAGAGAGATGACAAGCCTGCCCCATCTCCTTCATAGCTGTGTTTAGTGCACAAGTGCAAGGGGACAGGAACTGTGGGATGGCTGGTTCACAGCAAGAACAGTACAGTTCAAAACCTTCCCAGTGGGAACTGTGGTTTTGCAAGTAAAGGCTAGCCTAAGGACTCTCCAGCACTCTGACTGTTCAGTGAGGGCAGTCACTACCTCCTGTCTTCTCTACATTTCAGACTTTTACCAATCCTATCGCCAAGGCCACCTGGGACTTCATTTCAGTGGCCACTTATGCTTATGTAAGTGTGCCATCTGGTGGCGATGTGGGGATCCACAGGGATTCCAAATGCAAAGGCCTGTGGTGTGTTCTGGGATTAGGCCTCCTCACTCACCTGTCTCGGACCACATTGATGGTTCTCAGGCCCAGGGCTGCAGCGATCTGGATGACTGCTTGTCCTACTCCACTGTTGGATGCATTCTGGATGACAGAGTCTCCTATGGAGCCAGGAGGAGACTGAGTCAAGCCCTGCAGACCAGGACAGGGGAAAAGACAGAGTCCTCGAAAGGACCCAGAACCTGACTATGGAGTCTTCTCAGGCCTTGAACTGTCTCGCTGTTCCTTCACGCTTCTCCAACTCCCACCACACCCATGATGCCTCCCAGGGCCTGGCCACTCAGTATCCACAAAGTATATAATTCAGAGCCTGTGTGATTTTCTATACTCCACTCAGTGTCCACAAAGTATATAATTCAGAACCTGTGTGACTTTCTATCCGCCATCATTTTCTCAATTTTTATATCCCCTGTTCTCTGCTTAGGCCTTTTTTTTTGAAAAAAAAAAAAAATTGTGTATGTCAGAGGACAATTGGCAGGAACTGGGTCTCTCCTACCATGTGAGTCCAGGGGACTGAACTTAGGTAGTAAGGCTTACTGGCAACTGACTTTACCTGCTAGCCATCTCACTGGCCCCTGCTTAGGCTGTTTCTTTGGTTTGCAATGATTTTCTTGCTCCCTTGTTTGATATCCTCTATGTCCTCTGAAGTTCAGCTCCAGTGTGTACTTCATGAAGCCCTCCTGGGTTCCTTCCTTATGCTCCCAGAGGATTCTTTGGTGTTTGTCAATGCTCAAGCCATAACCCTGTCCGATATTAGCTGTACACAGATGCCTATCTGTCAATCACCTGCAGCTCTGAGGGAGGGCCAAACCTTGTTTAATCAAGGTGCACTTGAAGCGGATGAGTGCCATAATGGAGAAATGAGTGACCCAAGGGTTCTACAGACTATTAGTGTTTGCTTTGTGCTGCTAGGGCTCCAGCCCAGGGCCTAGGCATGTTAGGCAAGTACTCTACCACTGAGCTACGGCGCCACCCCTACACACTGACTGTGGTCAAAGTCTAGGACCTAGCTTTGCAATTCATCAGTGGGGGAGCCAGTGTAGCTCACTGGAGAAAATGTGGGCTCTGGAACACGGTGGAGCCGGGTGTGCATCTGGCTTTACCAATGACCACAACTAGATCAGACAGGTCAAATCATGTCCTCTTCAAACTTCAGTGTCTTCCTGAGAAAACAGGAGGCCTGGGACCACCAATTGGAGTATCCTCAATTAAATCCAAATGTGCTGTGAGTGGGAGGGTGCTTTGTTGCCTGTGAAATGCTGTCTGGTTTTCAAAGGCAGTCAGAGTCAGGGCAGAATGGACTGCAGCTAGAGGCAGACTCCTGGACAAGGAGGCCCATTTGCCTTTACCAAGGATTCAACATGTTGCTCACTAGTATGTTCTGAATCAACTCAGTGGGTTGCAGGCAGCATGGTTTTGTTTCAGTTGGACTTGAGGACTACAGAACAAAAAAACAACAGAGTATATCCCCCATAGTAAGGCGCATATTGGCTCACTAAACTTGGGCTTTTATCATGCACGTTCATCTATGCATATCAACTTGAGAACTATGTGAAACACAATTCTTACTATGGGTTGAGATCAGAAGCCCTGAGGCAGGAAAGTGGAGAGGTGCACCGTGGGCACTTATAGTGGGTGGCATCAGAACATGCTATCTGTCCACCATAGCTGCTGCCCCAATCAGGATTGGTCTCTGGACAGTGTTGGCTATACTTGAACTTAAGCAGAGGTCTCTCACCACACCCAGCTTTCCCCACCAAAGGCCCCTCTGTCATGGCTGTGAGAACCCCCATTTCTCACCATGGAAGCTGGCTTTCTACTAGGCTGTGGGCAGTGGCTATCTAATTTTATCACAGTCCAACCGCTCTTGGCCTCAGTTTCCTCACTGGCATGAGAGAAATATTGTGGGTAACTTCTATAGACCTGCTTGACTCACAGATAAGTACTGCGTAGGGAGCAGCCCTCACATAGTGTGGGATGTAGCGCTGGTCTGGGGGTATAGTTCAGTGGTAGAGTGACTGCTTGGCATGTTCCAGGCCCTGGATTCCATTCCCAGAACTGCAAACAAAATAGAACAAGCCTGGGCTAGAGAGATGGCTCAGCGGTTAAGAACACTGGTTGTTCTTGCAGAAGACCTGGGTTCGAATCCCAGCACCCACATGGCAGCTAACAACAGTCTGTAACTCCAATCCCAGGGAATCCAACAGCCTCTTCTGAACTCCAAGGGCACTGCACAACACGGCTGCACTTATCTATATGCAGGCAATACACGCATACACATAAAATAAAAATAAGCTGGGCATGGTGGCACATGCCTTTAATCCCAGCACTCGGGAGGCAGAGGCAAGCGGATCTCTGTGAGTCCAAGGCCAGCCTGGTCTACATAGTGATGGGGATAAAAGAGAGACCTTCAAAAAAAAAAAAAAAAAAAAAAAAAAAAAAAAAAAAAAAAGAACAAGCCTTTAAATAGCGATAAAAGCCAATCAGATGGATGGAGCTGGGCAAATGGGCTTAGCCTCCTCTCTCCTCTCCTCAGGGAGTTAATTTTGCTGTGGGCCCTGTGAGGGCTCCCAGCAGCCCTGAGGCCAGGTGGTTCATGGTAGTAACTGGCCTTAATAGGCTCCACCTTGATCCTTTCTTGCTCTTCCCATTCCCTCATTCTTGCTTCCAAGTACCACTCCCCAAGTGAACTGTCTGCTCCCACGCCTTCTGTCTCTGCTTTCAGAGGAACTCTAGTGAAACTCCTGGCTTCGCTGCTTACTTGCTGAGTGACTTGGTACAACAGTCATCCTCTGGGTCTGTTTCCCCACTGATAGAAAGGAAGACTACAGAAGCAGTTGGTTGGTTACTGCACTGCAGGCGAGGCACAGTGCTAAGTGTCCCATTGCCCGGTAGGCCAGGTACTGTGTTAAGTGTCCTGCCACACTGCAAAACTGCAGGTCAGGCACAGTGCTAATTGTCCAACTGCACTGCAGGGCAGGTGCTGTGTTAAGTGTCTCACACTGCAGGCCAGGTACTATGTTAAGTGTCCCACTGTACTGCAGGTCAGACACTGTGCTAAGTGCCTCACTGTAGTGGCCTATGAATCCCCTTACTCTCCATCTTTTGGGTGAACACTGATGTTGCGGGTGGCAAACTCACACAGACAGTGGAGGTAAAGCCTTGATTCAGACCTCGGTTGTTTGCCTGGGGCTTGAGCTTTTCACCAGTGGTAGGAACCCTCTGCACTCCTTTGAAGATGCGATGTGCTCCCTCGGGAAAATGCCTGCAAAGGCGCTTATGTGAATGGAAGTGTTGTGGAAGTGCTGAGTGGAATTATTAACACTAATTCAGCATTTTATTGAAAACACAGTGACTGTGTCTGCCTTATCCAGCTTTGTGTCCCCAAAGCTTAGCACAGCTCAACACATTTTTGCTGGGTGACAGCATTCCATCCCAAGCTCTGGGGAATGTGATCATCATTTCCCCACAGGATGTCCTCAGGAGCTTTCAGTGTTTTCTGGTAACCCAACTAACATCTATAGGACAGCAACACCTGGGTTAAAGCCTGTCATCCCCCAGACTCCCCACTGGCAAGTGGGGTCCTGGCTCGCTGTCAGCTTGCAGGTTCCTACCTGGCTGCAGCTGCTCAAAGTCCCTCAACATCCTGTAGGCTGTGCAGGGGTTGACACCCAGGGTGGCAGCGCTTGGAAGAGGAATGTCCTTGGGAACGGCAATCAGTGCTTCCTCACTGAACACAGCCTCAGTCCTCCAGGTTCCTGAGCCGGGATGAGGTAGGGTAGTGAAGAAGGATCCCAATCCCCGCCCCCACCCCCACCCCACCCCCACCTCCTGTACACCCAGGCCCTGGCCATCCTCCTTGGTATAAAAGCAGTCAGGACAGCAGAACACATGGAGGAAAAAAAGTCTTGTGTTTAAATTCTTGTGATAATTGTACAAGGTAGGTGTTATTTCAACTTTAAAAATGTGGTAAACGAGGTTCGAGAAGCTGCTTTGAGTTAGTGTTAGATTTAGCTAGTGTCAGTGCAGGGGCAGAGGACCTCAACTACTAGACTCTCAGGGCAGGAGAGCAATGTGATCCCCAGGACAAAAGAAGGTGACAAAGCAAAGCGCCTTCCTCTTGTAGTCCCTGTTCTCAAAGTCAGGCTGGCTCAGGTGGTCCTACATTTCAGACCAAAGCAGCACAGAATGCCCTTACCAAGTCCGATGTCCACTTTGATGCAGACCCCTCATGCAGCCAAGGAGGAAACTGGCCTGCCCCAAATCACAGGGCTAATCTAGGCAGAAGTGGGGCTAGACCCAGGCTCTCTGGGTTACCTCTTGAACATGCAGAGTCATGGTATTAAATCGTACTAGGTAGTAAACCTAGAGCCTAGCACAGACATTAACAAATGTTTACTGAAAAACTGAGTTAATGAATTGTCCTTGAGATAATAAAATCCTTGTCCTCCCTGGCTGGTCTCCTGCTTGGGAGACGCCAGGGGAAATTCTTGCTGTGGATAACCTATCACCACGCTGTCACCCACACACCTGGCAGGTGTCCTTTATTTGTCTCCTCTCCAATTCAAGAGGACTATTAAATCCTGCTACTACTAAGTCCTGTTACTTCAATTTTGAGCCCAACTCCTCTTCTCCAGTCCTTGGTACTGTCTTGCTCAGACTCTCTTCAGTGAAGCCTGGACTGTGAAGCATTTCCTTACCGGCTTCCTCTGCCTTTCCAGACCATTCTCTGTACTGCACAAAGCTGATCACATCATCCCTCTGCTTGACTCTGTGGGGAACCCTGATTGCTGGAGCACAGGAGCCCTCCAGGTCAGCCTGACCTACCTCCACAACTCCATCTCACCTCTCTCCCTCTCACCTCTCTCCCTCTCTCTCCCTCCCTCCCTCTCTCTCTGGCACAGGCTCTCAGCATTCTCTGATACTGCTGTGCCTTTCCTGATTGCCTTACATGCTGTGTTCCAGGCCTGGAATGTGTCTCCTCATCAGGCCCATGGCTAGACTTCTAGTCAGTCTTCCAGGCCAAGTAAGCATCAGTGGCTTGGGAATCCTTTCCTGACACCTCCCACTAGGATCACTCGCCTCTATGTTCCCTGTGATTAGTGTGATTAGGACTTCCACTGCACTGTGTTATGTACTGATTCTCCATTCTGAGCCTCCCATCCCCAGCCATGAGGGACAGAGACCATCTGAACTACTTTGGAGTACTCTTCATTCAGCACAGGGCTGGCCTAAGTGTCTCATGGTCCTTGCAGCTATCCATGTGCTTAGCTGGCCGGATTCCTGACTGCCCTGTGGATGTGGGAGAGGGAGGGGCTGCTCTTGGCAGCTTCCCTAAGCTCAGCGCAGCACAGAGCTTTTACTGGAATCTGACATAGTTGTTTTCCTGCCTGGTACCTTTCTCTCTCTTAGAAGTGTTCCTTCCCAACCTCTGGTTGCCACCACAGGGCCCTCCCTACCTCTGTACCACCTTCAGAGGAGACAAGAGAATGGCCCAACCCTTGCCCCAGGCAACTGCTTCTGAAAGGGCAAGAACTAGGGCCAGGTTGCTCTGGAGGAGGAAGGTGTGTGATGTAACCTCAGACTGTTTATATGAAAGGCACATATGAAAATGAGTTTGAATCTTGGCCCCCCTTCATTTACTGTCTGGGTGGCCTTGGGCAACTTGCTCAAGCCTTTATATTTACCTTCCTCTAATTTTCAAAAGGAGAAGATACCTACCTCATGTCAGGGTTGACTGAATTATGTATGTAAAGTACTTAAGTGGGCTCTCTCCTTTTGAGTCTGAATTTGAGCAAATCTCATTTTCCAAGCTTCAGTTCCTTATGTGCCGGACCAAGTGGTACTCTTGGGACAAGTAAGGAGTCAGGGAATCCAGGAAGCAAACTCTCGGTGTAATACCCCAAGCACCTCCATTTTACATAAGTTTAACTGGTCAATCACCTGGTCATAGGACCACCCTTAGGAAGGTGGGTTATGCTAAACAGATGGGTGGAATAATTAATGCCCTGAGGATTTCTTTTTATTTAAAATTCTAAAAAAATTGTAAAAGCTTAATTTGGCTGATTTGGAACTTTTTGAGTCTGGGTAGTCTTTCCTAGTGGTCCCGAACTCCATAACGTCAGAAGGAGCCAATTCAAGACTTTCGAATGCTTACATTTCCACATCTTATCCTCAAACTGCCTGTCATCACTTAATCAAAAATAACCAAAAGAACAGGCTAGGGTCAAAGTTAAACTGATGACAGTGAATGCAGTTAGCTGTCCTTCCCTGGCCAAAAGCTAAGAGAAGCTACAAGGTAAACCCGAGTCAGTCAGGTCAGGCAGATGTCTGTCTCAAACACCCACCCTGTGTTTGGACCAGAAAAGCCTTTAACTAGCCTAAAGATAAATGCCAACAGTAACAAAAATGTGGGTTAATTATTTCTTCCTCAGCTTGCCTGTGAAGGTGAAACTGTTTTAATGTCCCAGGCTCACTGCATCCTGGGCAGAAAGCAGCTGTCACACCCGCCTTAATAAGAACCTGACAGACAAGACTGGAAACGCCAGTTCTTTGCCCTCTCTGGTGCCTATCTTTCTACCTCTATTTTATCAAAAATTCCATTATCCTTTCCTCTAGTTTCTGCTTCATTCTTTAGGGAGGTGCTCTAGGGGGTCCCTAGCCTTAGGCCACCTCACCTATCTCGGGGAACACTACCCTCTTGCTGCTGTTGTGAGGACCCATTTGGGTAATGGATGTGCCTTGAAAATATAAGAGCTGAAATGCAGAACACACTAATGACTCCTTTCCATACATAAACAAACCGCTATCTAGCTTGGCTCTGCTGGGCCTTACCCTGTGTGGCCCCGCTCCGCCTCTGCAACCTTCTTTCTCACTTATGTAACCCTCTCCCATAGGCAAAGCCTTAGCTGGGCTACACTGGATTTTCCATTCCCCAAACTTACCTTGGTGTCTGGTGTCTGTTCACTTCACTTCTTCCACACAAAACAACTTGGTTCATCTCTCCCTAACAACTTCATGTACTAAAGGCCTGTTCTAATGGACTCTCCTCAAAGAAGTCTTGTTTGAATTCTTCTCAAGACCATCCATCTGTCTCTGTCTCATATACATGCACACAGAGGAGCCAGATGTACCTGTCTCCTGTGGCCCTGGAGTACTCCCTTTATGAAGGCACTGCCTTACTGATCACTTTAGTCAGGTTTGAGCCTTCTGAAGGACAGGGACTCTTGTTATTTTCCACTGTACCTTACAGCAGGGGCTTCAGGATGCAGCGAGTTAGACACAGCTGTGATCAACATGGGCCCAAGGAGATGTGCACGCAGGTACGTCCTTCCAGAGCAAAAGAAACATAATTCCACTCTCCTGGAGGCAGGCCTATGAACTTAACAATGAACCCACACTACTTAGTTACATTGAGCCAATGAATGTGTGGCTCTCAAGTGGATGAACCAGGATCTGGAAGAATGCAAAGCTGCTGGCACCTGGGGACACTCACCCAAACCGGCATTTGCTGGGATCACCCAGTCTCCTGGTTTCAACCCAGACACGCTGCTGCCCACTGCTACCACCTGTCCAACGCCTTCATTCCCTCCAACAGCAGGCAGCTGAGGAAGGAGGCCGTAGTTCCCTGGGGAAGAAGAATGCATGGGTCATCCAGCCAGGTCTGGCAGAGGCCTAGACTTGAGAGTTGGTCACACCTGAGCCGAAAGGGCTCGGCCTCTCACTGGTGATCCACTTCATCAAGCTCCAGGCCTCTGCTTCCTTGTCTGTCCAGGGAGCTAATACGCTTTAGCCACATGGTTACCATGAGGATAAGTTCAAGAAAGAAAGGAGCCCAGCATGCCACAGAATCTTCACAGGGTCTACTCCCTACTGCAGTCCTCCCGATGTAGAGCCCACGTTCAGAGGTGGGTCAGAGAGGGACCGACACCGTGTACAGATAGCTCTTCTACAGACCGTCCACTGCTAATCCCAGGAATCTCATATCCCCACCTGAGGAGGAACTGGGGCAATGTGATGGCAGCTGAGTAAAAAAGCCAATTAACATAAGCTCCAGAAACCAAGGTTACCTTGAATCATATTTATGTCAGATGGATTGATAGGGGCCGCCAGCATCCTCACACGGACGTCTGATCCTCCCACGGCAGCAAGCTCCAGGTTCTTGACTCTAAGCACAAAGCCACAGAGAGATGTTAATGTCAGCCAGGCTAGACTGGGTGTCTTCCACTCAAATTGTCTCCCCAAAGTAGGTCATCAACGTATCTCAGCTGCCATATGTGCTCAGGAATTTGGGTCTGCTGGAAAAGAGGTGCTGTAAGGACTAGTGTAGGGTATGGGCTGTCTTCCTAACGGCAGCGGACCATCGTGAGTGGCCTCTCAGTTCCTGGCCCTGGGTTTCCAGAACTTGCTTGGTGGACTCACTATTAATACAGCTGCAGCCTAACACATGGCCCAGCATCACCAGGTGAGGGCACTCCTGATTCTTCCCAACAGACACAACTGGGAAACCCTGGCTCAGCCTCATCTATTTGTGTGTTGTTTTGTTGCCCCCAACACACAGGCAGAGGCACACAGCAACATTTCCCTTAGCAGAAGGTGGGGCAATGGAGAGTTAGCCTATGTATCTGTGAAGAATCCCTGATTGCAACTCACACCCTGGGGATGTTGATCCTGGTCTGTTAGAAAGGCTTCTGGGGAAGCTGAAGACCTTAGGTGCCTCGGCACCACCAGTAAACTTCTCTGTGCTAGGCTATTTTGTGTGGAGATTTGGACTGTATCACTTTTTTTTTTTGAGACAGTAGTCCTAGTTGGCCTGGAACTCGCTGGGATTGATCTCACAGAGATCTGCCTGCCTCTGCCTCCACAGTGCTGGGATTAAAGGCATGCACTACTTCACTTGGCCACTTCTGACATCTTATATCTGTGATCAGTCTCTCTGTTCATACTAGGCCCTCAATACTAGAGTATCAAAATCTTGGTTCTGCTGAAGCTTTGCTTGCTGTGTAAGACTTGCCAGGGCTTAGGAGAAGACTCAGTGAGTGCAGATCCTGACCAGATCTACAGCGCAGCGCCCACATAAACACCAGGCATGGCAGCACACATCTGTAATCCCAACATTGGGGGGCAGAGACAGGCAGACTAGCTGAGATACAAGCTCCAGGTTCAGTGAGAGGACTTGTCTCAAAAAATAAGGTTGGAGAAGCAACTGAGGAAGACACCTGACACCAGCCTCTGGCCTCCACAGGTGCCTGCATGGGAAGATCACTCCCACCTCAATATACACAGGGAGGCAGTGAGGCTTACTTTTGTTATTTTAAAGTTTTTCTGTGCTGGGTGTGTGTGGCGGGGGGAGGGGGTTAAGAGCACTGGCTGCTCTTGCAGAGGACCTGGGTTCACTTCCCAGCATTTACACGGCAGCTAACAATCTGTGACTCCAGTTCCTGAGGATCTAACACCCTTTTTAGCCTCCACAGGCCCTGTACAACACGGGTGCACTTACGTACATGCAGGCAAGACACTCATATACATAAAAAACCAAAAACCTCAGAGAGGTTTTTTGATTGGGATGGTGGTGAACCACTATTTCAGCCTCAGAGAGGCTCAGGTATGAAGATGGTGAGTTCAGACCCAGGGTGGGCTACAGTAAGACCTTGTCTGTAAAAACAAAACTGTGCTTTGTTTTTAGAAGACTTGCTGACTAGACAGCACTGCTAACTGCTTCACACCCGTGGGTCCCTGTGACTTTCCAATGAGCATAGATAGGCCAGGCTTTCTCCACACTTAACACTTCAAGTCTACAATGATTCTCTCTGCCTAAATATTTATTAAGCAATAATTTTCCTCATTTTTACTTCCCTGAGTCATATATAACTGTCAGAGGCTCTTAGCATGCCACCACAACTAAACTGAGGTAATCCACCCACCTTCTGCAGAAATCTCACCTTTTAATTAGACCTGAAGCATGATCTGAGGTTTAAAAGTGTGATTTTTCAAGTAATGTTTAGTACTGATAATAGTACGAGGGGCAGGTGCTCACGAGCTGTTTCTTATACACAGGCTGTATGCTGAGTTTTAAGACGCAGCACTCCTGGGAGGGAAGTGCTAACAGTCCTGTGCGGCCTAGCAGGGAACAGAGCCTCTGGAGGTTGTGTGTACACAGGCTCAGGTGACCAGGAAGTGGCAGGCTAGAGCCCGCACTCTGATTACCAGGTTTGAGAATCCTGATTGCTTTCAAGGTCCTCTAAGGATCTGGGGGACTCAACCTGAGCCCCTAGACTGTCATGACCCCAGTAACACAGGCCAGCTTTCATCATGATTGAGAATCAGCCAAGAAACTAAACAAACTCTCCCCAGAAAAGGGTTAACTAGAAAGAGTGGGAGACCAGGGAACAGGAAAAGGCTTTCTAAAAGGAAGTGCTAAGGACTGCCTGTGTACACAGCTAGAGGAGGGAGGCGTCTTTGCCAGAGTAACTGGTGCTTACTGAGTGCTCACCAGCCAGGCTCCCTGCCAAGTGCTTCACAGGCCGGCCTCCTTGCTATTCCAATGGCTTTCAGACTATTCTGCTTTTACAGCAGAGGAACAAAGGCACAGGAGAGGTAAATAACTTGCTCTAGGCCCTTCCCAGTGGTAGGTGGTTGATCTGATCTGAACCTGGCAGTCTGAAGTTAAGAGAAGCCATCTGGTAAGGGGCCGATTCCAGACCAAGCAGAAGGCAGCCAAGAGCTCTGGCCTGGCCTGGCCGGTGACCCTTGCTGCACCTACCCAACAGTGGGAGATGGGTGGGCACCAGGGCCTCTCCAGCTGACCTCACAGGGAGGGACCAGTGCTGGGAGTGTATCAAGTCCAAAGAAAACTTCTGCCCAGAGCACACGGGCTTTGGACCGGCTGTCTCTCTGTATTATCCCGTTTCACTCCTGCATTTTGAAGGATAATCAGCCTTCTGTAAGCTGATGAAGCCCAGGACTTCAAGCTGCTTAAAGACTTTTCTGCACACTCGTCCTTCAGCCAAAAATTTAATTTCTGTATCTTCTCCATGAAGTGAAAAATTCAATTCACCCTTCAAGACTCGGATCCAACTTTACTTCTCCTGTGAGTTCTTCGGACTCTCTTTCTGCACCTGGAAACAATCGCTTTCTCAGTGTTTGAGTTCCACAGCAGGGACGATTGTACCATTTAAGAGCCTCTCATTGAGTTTATTACTTCTTAGCTTATGAAGTCTTTCTATACGTGCTTTTCAACTGATCAAGACATGGGTTCAAGATCCCCTTTCCAAAGTTCTTAGGGCTTGATGGACTTCTGAGTTCAGAACTATGAGTCAGTTACCTGTACCAGCAGGGCACTGTAATCAAATGTTTCCACAGCAAGAGGAATATTCCTCTTGAATCTCTTGCATATTGGGCAAAGATCACAGAAGAACCTTATCATTAAGCCAGGTTTTACCTCCAATGAGGTAAAAAAGATGGTGCGTTTTCAGCGCGATCTGCATTCTAGAACTGCAGGGGAGAGTTTGGATCTGGATCGGAAGCCTTCAGACTCAGTCTTTTTACTTCCCACCTGTTTTTTGTAGTCACTCTGTGTGTGAGTGTGCCTGTATGTAAGCTTCTGAGCTCCTGAAGGACATGAAACTTTTAGTTTTACCCTAGTGATTAGCAGGTATCTGGGGCCAAACTTTTCTCTCCAGAGAGAAAAATGTGGCATAAAAGTCCCAGTCACCTAGGATGTCGGAGAGGTGCCAATCACTGGCTCAGCTACTTCACTTGCTCTTCTGGATTCTAGGCTATTTAAAAACATTTCCAAGCTAGGTGTGGTGGTGCATGCACTCAGGGAGGGAGAGGCAGGCAGATCTCTGTGAGTTCAAGGCCAGCCTGGTCTACACAGAGAGTTCCAGGCCAACTGGGGCTACAAGGAGACCCTGTCTCAAAAAAGACCAAAAACAAACAACACTTCCAAAGTTTGGGTTCAAATGAAGATGATTCTTGAGACAGTTGAAAAGAGTACATGAAGTTATCAGAAAAAAAAGATGGGGAGATATGGGAGGAGTTGGAGAGGAGGGAGTGGGCATGGAATTGATCAAAACACCTTACACAGCCGGGCGTGGTGGCACACGCCTTTAATCCCAGCACTCGGGAGGCAGAGGTAGAGGCAGGTGGATCTCTGTGAGCTCAAGGCCAGCCTGGTCTACATAGTGAGTTCCAGGACAGCTGGGGCTACAGGGAGACCCTGTTTCAAAAAGACCCCCCCCCAAATCTCAATAAATTATTTAAAAAAAAATCTGACCTTGACGCTGGGTATGGTGGCAAGCACCTTTAATCCTAGCCCCCTGGAGGCAGAGGCAGGTGGATCTCTGTGGGATTGAGGCCACCCCAGTCTACATCATGACTTCCAGGTGGGCTGGGACTAGGGAGACCCTGGGGGGGGGGGGGCAGAAAAAAAAAACCCAAGGAAAAAAATGTTTACCTTTGGTCAAGGTAAGAATGCAGGCCGCCCTTGGTTCAGAGGGTGAGGCGACATGCATGGATTGGGAGTTGAAACTGGTGGTCCAGGGGTTGCATGTTGCCTCAGTCACAGAATGCTCCCGTTCAACCGGACAGCACTAAGAACTTCTTCCTCACTGAATTGCAGTGCATAGGGCATTTGCCACAACAGACAGCACCCAAGAGGCTGAAGATACCCCAGCCGCCATCAGCAGAAGGAATGCCTCAGACCCTGCCAACGGTCAGCCGGCCTTTCCCTTGTAGACTTCAGTCACTGAACATAAGGCTACAATTTTTTTGATTCATGAAAAATTTAATTCAACAGGTTTTTTCTTTCCTTTTTTTATTATTATTATTATTTTTTTGTCTTTTTTTGAGACAGGGTCTCCCTGTAGCCCCAGCTGTCCTGGAAATCACTATGTACACCAGGCTGGCCTTGAACTCACAGAGATCTGCCCGCCTCTGCCTCCCGAGTGCTGAGATTAAAGGCGTGAGCCACCACGCCCGGCTTCTTTCCTTTTTTTATGTGTATGAGTGTGTTGCCTGCATATATGTGAGTGTACCTGTGTCATGCAATGCCAGAAGAGGGCTTTGGATTCCCCTGAACCTGGAGTTAAGTTTGTAGCCGCTATGTGGGTGCTGGGAATTGGACCCCTGGGTCCTCTGCAAGAGCAATCAGTGCCCTTAACTGCT